CCTATATTGTACGTGGCCTTTGCAAAGTCTCTAGACTTGCCAAACTTTACAACAGACCTCACAACTTAAAAACTCACATCCCCATACCCTGCTCAACAATTCACATATTCAGGCTGTGGCTTAAGTTGTGCATAATTCCTGAACCTTGAGGTTTCCTGGATCTACTCTGAAATGTTCTTTAAATGTTGTTTTTGTCAACATAATTTCCTTCTAGACTCATCTTTACTCCGATAATTTAATTATCTCTCTAATAGAAGACCCTCAAGGCCAACAAAATGGTTTAGCAGATAAAATACAAGTCTGAGGACCAATCTCTGGAGTCCACAATGGAAGAAAATTGACTCCTGGGAGTTGTCCTCTGACCTTCATATGCCAAAAGGCCTGGCATTCATGTACCCTACCCCTAGTAATGAATTGATTTTTTAAAAATAAGACTCACAGCTTTTATTTAGGCTCTTTTGTTACAGAAAGTCTTTTTTAATGCATTCTCTTTATCTAAGGCCACATTAATTTCTTATTCGACATTAGCAACTTTCTTACATTAATCTTTCTCCTTTTGTATGTTTGGTAATTTCTATGACAAAAATTAAATATAATTTGATACTTGAGGAAAGTCACTAAAAAAAAAAAACAAAAGAAAAACAAAAAGAAAAAAGGGTACTGTCATACAAGCAGAATAAAGCAAACAAACAAAAGAATAAGCACAGAATCTATCCAATTATATGTTATAGATAAGTCTGTACACATATGTCAGTAGCTACCATGAATGATGCTTGAGGAATCTATTAGAATAGAGCAAGGTAAGTTCAGATGTTACAGAGACCCTAGAACACTCAGCTTTTTCTGCTTTGGAACTTTGGGGAACCTGAACTGAGAGACTTTGGAGGTCTGATGAAGCGCTCTCATTATTGTTTAGGAAACACATTTAGAGAGGAAAATCATTTACTGAATGAAAGCCAAGGACCAAGAATATAGATCAGTGTTAAGAGTATTTGCGTCAAATGTGCAAGGTCCTGTAGGTTCAGTCACCAACTGCTAAATATAGTCAACCAACATATCAATCACCCAATTACTAGGAAACCATGAAGTAGTACAACATAAGGTTAGTCTCAGGATCTGGGTGTAGTGACAGATGCCTTTAATCCCAGCAGTTGGAAAGCAGAGATAGGTGAATCTTTGAGTTCCAGGTCAGTCAGTGATCCTGTCTCCAGATAAATTAATCAACCAATTAATCAATCTAGGGAGTAAATACTAAAAGTTCTCAATCATATATGGATCTCATGGAAACAGAGAGAGAAGTGATCACCAGAGTATTAAGTGGTTTGAAATTAGATAGGAGCAATATGTTCCAGTGTTGTACAGTACAATAGGGTGACTGTGGTTTGTGACAATTTATTGTATATTTTTATAAATGTTTAAGGAGATAGAGATACCAACTACCCCGACTTACTGATGTACACTACAAAAATGTATCAAATCATCACACTGCACTCCAAAAAGATATAATTATATGTCACTGAAAATTATGAGGTGTTACAAGAGTGCACTGGAAAAAAAATCTTGCCTCACCTCAGCCATAAGCCCAGTATGTTCTGTTGAAGGTATGGGATTCTATAGGGATAAATGCGTTGAGGTTGTAAAAGGAAACAATAAACTGCTAATAGCACAAATTGAGTGTGGAGTGAGTGTTCAAAGACTTCCAGTGCTCTGTGTCTACAATTCTCACTAGGAAAATGTTCATGTATTATGATTTGTAAAGTGTTTTCTAGCTAGATGGCCAACTCACATGTCCTCCTTGTCTAAACTAGTAATAGAAAACAAGACATTTCTCACCGTTAGTCCTCATACCCCACATTTTTGCTAACCATTACTACTAGTATGGGCTTATTTCCCACTGTCACTCTCCTCTAATTCACTCTTGAAGTCTCCCTGGAAAGGCTATAAATTCCAGCCCTGGCCTCAAGGGCCCAGGGGAGAGTCATGGAACTTTATAGTGTACCTCTCACAGGAAACGTCTTTCTTCTGGTGACTGACTTGGTCCCTACCCATTGCAGTCTGGATCTTGAATGGCCCCCAAAGTCCCCTGTGTTGAAGGCTTGGTCCTCAGCTGATGACACTATTGGGAGATGGTGGAATCTTGATAAGGTAGGGCCTGGTAGAAAGAAGGGAGATCATTGGGGTATGCTCTTGAAGGGGGGTACTTGGACCCTGGCCTCCTCTTCCATCACATATTCTTACCATGGTAACAAGTCAAAAAAGCAACAGGACAATGAACTACAGATTAAAACATCTTGAATCAATCTTTTTAAATTGATCTAAAGGTCATAGCAACTGAAAGATGATGAAGTGTCCAGAAGGCTCTGTACCATAACCAGCTTCTTACCAAGGGAGTCATGATCTGGTTGAGTTAGGTTCAACTGTGGCCTGAAGGAGGCAGCACAACAAACCATATGACACAGAAATATTTTATTATTCATAGTTCTATGAGAGAAGAGGGATGGTCACAGGATTGATGGGAAATCTAGAGAGCAGGGTGCTCAGCCAGTGGGTAGAAAGGAAGTCAATGTTCTGAGGGACTAAAGCCCTCACTGGCATCTGTTAGCTCAAGGAGTGGATTTCAAGCTCTATAGGTCACACTCTGAGACTGTGACTGCTGTGAGCATCTATACAGTTCATACAGGGTATAGGACCAATGAGTTGTATCTTGTCATTCCATGTGAAGGGGGGGGGGTCACAGAAGGTAGTCATATAGCACAACTAGATAGACAATACTGAGACACTAGGAGTAGGTAGAGAGGAGTAACTGCGTCAAGGGTGACTACAATCTGCTTCTGGTATGAGAAATCCAACTACCTTTAAAATGGGTGCCAGGACATTAAGTTAAAGCTTACTATAGCAATCCTGTATCAGTCAATGTCCCAAGTTCCATTTGGGAGAACCTGTTAATTTAAGGAAAAGGGACAAAGCAAGAAAAGACAAAAAGGCAAGGTCAAGAAATAGCAGCAATGCCTTTGATTAAAGAAAAGCAGGCACAGAAAGATGAAATACACTGTCTATGCCCCAGTGAAGTGACTGGCTTCCAGTGCGATTTTATACATTCCAAGGGTGAGCAACCCACCATCCCAGTCAGCTCCCCACAGTAGTAATCTTGAGATTCCCTCACTTAGCAGGGCCGAACCAATGCTATAGAACATGGGGGGGGGGGAGTTGGAAATTCAGTCTCTAATCTGGGAATACATAACCTTCCTGTCCTCGCCTCCTGAATGCTAAGATTACAGTAATGAACCACCAGGCACCACTAGAACAAAGTATTTTGTACAGAGTTGGTAGAAGCTGCAGTAGCCTCTCCACAGTTGTTGGGTTACCTAATCTATATCATCTAAGCCAATCAAATAAATCCCCTTTGCCACCCACATTCTAGAGCAGTGGTTCTCAACCTTTCAAATGCTAATGTCATGGTAAGCCCCAACCATAAATTTTCATTGCTATTTCATAACTGTAATTTTGCTGTTATGAATCCTAGTGTAAATATCTGTTTATTAATTATCTTAGGTGACCCCTTGTTAAAGGGTCACAACGAAGGTTGAGAACCACTGTTCTGGAGACCCTGGGCTATACCAGACTTGAATTGTTACTTAAGCTTCTGTAACTGGGCTGTATTGTAGGACCCTATGGCAGGAAAGATGTAATCTTGATTCATCCATCCAGGTATAACAGTATGGCACACATACTGTGAACTCAGGAACCAACCTGTTCTTTGCCCCTCCCCCCCGCCAACTGCCTACTGTTCAGGCCCAAGTCTCCAGGTTTCCTGGGAATTCTGAGGCACATGCTTAGAGTTGGCTGGTTGGCAAGTTTGGCTGTTGCTTATTGGCAGCAGAAACACTTTCCTTTGAACTATAGACAACTTTTATGGGGTACTAGTTCTCTGTGTTGTGTGGCAGATATTTCTTATCCCTAAGCTGCCACTATTCTGGTGCCAATGAAGACATCACTTGCAAATTCCACTCTGGCTCCTTCAAAGGACAAGAAACAGTAATGCTGTTTTAGTTACCTCCTCTACAAGGTCAGACCGAAGCCTTCCTCTGGGTATCCTTTGATGCTGTTAGCTTTCCAGCTATCCTGCTGGTCAGTCATGGACACATCTAGTTTGTGCCATCTGTTACAAAATACCTGAAAGCAGGCAAGTCATGGAATCTGGAAGTAGTTTCTGAATCTGCCTTTTTTCTTTTTCCTTAGTTCTTTGAGACAGGGACTTGAAATGTAGCCTTGGCTGTCTTGAAACTTGCTATGTACACCAGGCTAGCTCAAACTCATATAAAGATCTATAAAGATTCAGAAGGCTCTGCCTCCTGAATTTTGGGAAAGAAGGCTATTATGCAGGACCCAAACCTGATTCTTTCAGACTTGCTATACAGACCAGGTTGCTTCTTCATCAACCTCCTCAAAACTGGGACTTATGTATACCAACAGACCTGGCTCATTTATGTCTCATATAGACAGAAAAACAGACAAAACTAACAGCTTTATTTATGAAGATGTAGTGGTACTCCAAACACCAAGGGAAATTGTTCTCTGTTCATACCTCAGAACTTCCACTGTGCACCAGAAGAGTGACACTTTTAAACCATGCTGCAGAATTTTATTTTTTTGACATCCCAGTTACTGGTTTTCACGTTTGTCTGTCTTAGGGGGTGACTCCAGCATCTCAAGCATCTCTTTGCACAATACCTCTTGGGCTGTTTGTGCTCCACTGCAGTTCTTCTTTGGGGAGAGGTATGCAGAAGACCCTGCCATTAGAGCCTTTGAGCATGCTCTCTGAGTACCGAGGGAAGCTGGGAACTTTGTAAAGAGAGGCATTTCGAGAGCCTAGGAATCAGCAAATTAAAGCCTTTCTAAGGGATAAACTACATGGTTGAAACAAGTTAAATTTTGTTTTAAGAAGCACCATTCATTTTCATTTCATATACATAGCACAATGTTTAACTTTTTTTTTTTTTTTTTTTTTTTAAAGCAGCCTGTTACATAGTTCTGGTTGGACTGGAATTTTCTATGAACACCAGGCTGGCTTGAACTACGCGATTTGCCTGCCTTTGATTCCCAAGTGCTGGAATTAGAAGGATGTCCCATAATGCCTGATCTAACAAAATAGTGTTTAGGAAAAACCTTCAAGCAAGCTGTTTCTCTCAAATGATTGCTAGCCAAACAAACACAAAGACAAAAGGACACAAATAGCCTGCTTTAGAATGAAAATATGAGGAAGGAATTTCTGTGCAATAGAACATGGCAGGGATGCCTCTCCCAGGATTATAGACAAATGTCAGAAATAGGGAAAGTGTACATGAGGGCTTCTGACACAGCAGCAACCCCAGAGACACCTTAGGAACACAGTGACAACATGGGTCCATGGTAGGGTATGTGAGAACATAGATAACGGAAGTACATACTGAATGCAAATTAGAAATACACAAAATTCCAAGACACAATACATGTAAGATTGTCCCCATATAAAGGGTTTACAAACTGAACTGTACAATGTTACAATGTAAAATGTTAGAGAAACACTGTAAACATTCAAATATGATAACATGACATGTACACAACATATAATCATGGAGGACTTTTAGGTAAGGTTTTCAGAAAATCCAGGAATAGACTTTATATTACAAAATGGTCCATATCGCCCAAAAATGTCTTTTGATTGAACAGTAAAATAATATTTGCTGGAAGCTACAAACTGAGATAAAGTGCAGGCCATTGGGAGTGGTAATGCTTTAATTTCTGCAATTTTCTTCCAAGTCAAATGATGAGAGTTGTCATAGCACAGGAAGAGGTGGTAGCTCTCCACAGGAGCACACTTGGGGTTGATGCTGGAGATGTTCCATGTCAGGGCAATGCCTGGGGGTTTCAACACTCGCTTCACTTTCAGCTCAGGTTTTTGGGGGAGGAAGAGTGTCTTGGATTTTGTCTGCCATTTCAGGGAGTGGTGGTGGTGGTTCTGGGAGAGGTGGCAGATGTTCAAGTGAATCAAAACCCTACAAACACATTTGTAAGAAAGTTCATCAAGAATATTTGGTGAGTATAGACAAAAGTGGTCAAGCTCAGGTATACTAATCTACTTCTCATTCTTCAATCCTTCACCAAAGCAATGAAAGGTTATTTCAAGAAAATGAAGCTAGATTAATGATGTTTTGCGTGTATGTGCTGGTACATCTGTTAGTGTATATTGGTATATCCGTCAGTGTATGCACACATGGGAAGGGCAGAGGACAACCTCACATACTATATTCCTCACTGTATTAGGTTAGTCTATCTGGACAGCAAACTCCAGGGATCCACTTATTTCTGCCTTCCCAGCTCTGGGTTTACATGTGAGTGCCACCTACCTTGTCTTATTTAATTTTTAAACATTGGTTACAGGACCAAACTCAGGTTTTCACGTTTGTAATGCACTTTAGTGACTGAGCCATCTCCTGGCCTTTAGATCCAATCTTTGCAAAACAGAAGGTTTTTTAGGAGCTGAGATTTGTTTTGAATGATCCTAGGAACTGGACCCAGCACTTGGCACATGTTAGGCAAATTCTCCACCTCTGAGCCACATTCCAAGCTGTCGGAAGAATAATTTCTATACTGTGAAACATTGCTAATTCATAACGAAGGAGGTCTCAGGTCTTCAGGAGAGCAAACCATCTCGTTTCAACATTGTGTTTCCAAACACTGTAGTAATTTCTCCAAAAAACCTCATCAACAATGGTTATCACTCCTAAAATAACTGAAACATTGTGTTTGTCTTCATTTCTATAGCTTCTGTAAACTGCTGACTGAATTCTTTTTATTATGTAAGTGGATTCACAAGAGCACTTTATGAAAAGCCATCAAGGTCTTTCCTAAGCTGAAATGTGGCTCAGATGCTTCCAGAGGAAAACAGATAAATCCCACTCTGTTGGAATGTACATCCTTTACACAGCATTTCAGATTAGTACCTCAGCTCCATTTTCTGCCACTGGGATTATTTCTTTTGATCTTAAAACAGCTTTCGAAGATGACTTCAGGGTGAATGCTGGGCTTTCTGTGAACAAGACAGTATAATTTAGAGCTGGGGGTGTATCTCAGTGGTAAAGCACTTGTCTACCATAAGTGAGAAGGCCCCAGCACTACAAGGAAATGAAAATAAGTAAATAAAATTTACCTGGAACAAATTCTGCAGTGATTTTTTTTTTTTTTATTTTAAATTCTGCAGTGATTAAGCAGATATTCACCTTGAGTAGTAAATACAGTTACAAGTACAAAATTCATATCAATATACTGTTTTACAGAATACATAGAATTTTTCACTAAGGTGACAAAAATTCCCTCTAAAAGTAAATCCTTTATTATGCAACTAGGAATTTGGTATTTATACATGAGAGAGGGATCCAAGAGATAAAAGAGGTAGTCTTTTCTGTTAGATCAATAAAAATATCTACAAATACAAAGTTTACAAATATGTATGAATATGTAATATATACAACCTTAGAAATTCAAACAAAAATCCCACAAGCTAGGGGCATGCTCTTGAAATATGTATTCACATGGAGGGAACTAGATAAAAGACATGGATTGTGGGAAATGTGAAAGCAGAGGAAGGGAAGACATGATAAGAGGAGGAAAAAGAGGTAGGGAGGGAACAATGCCCAAATTCTCAAATATTGTCTATAAATGTTTGTTTTCATTTAAATGGACTTGGTTATATAAAATAAAAAAAAAAAAAGAGGTAGGAGGGATGGAGAAGCTGTGGTGAGCAGAGGGAAAGGAGTACGGGTGGTTTTACATAGCTAGGTAGTGAACACATGGAGAAGATTAAAATAGGTGGGTAACACTGGAAAGTACAAGGGCTAGATCAGTAATGATCACCATGTGAGGCCTATTTAGCTTGATGCACCCCCTGTAATCCACCTGCCTCTGGCTCCTAAGTACTGGGATCAAATGTGCTCGCTACCATGGCCGACTATTTTACAGGTATTAAGAAAACCTTAGAATTAAAACTTTAGGTTTTAATTTTGAGAGTCTATATAGGTTTTCAACCATACATTAATTAATCAAAGCTAGGTCTGATAAAATCAAAGTCTTCAGGTTAATCATCACATAAAGTGATAAAACAGCCTTTAAATTTTCAAGTAAATAGTTCACCACAAAGAAAAGCCCTAAGAAGCGTAATTTCCAAGGAGTAACACTTATTTCAAAGTAATAACCAACAATCCCTGGACAAAAGTAACACAGGCCTAGAGACCCAACTTTGTGGTGGTAAGATAGGACTTCTGCCAACTGGTGTTGGTATTATCATTAGTAATGCCAATGTGTGTGTGTGTGTGTGTGTGTGTGTGTGTGTGTATGTGTATGTATGTATGTATGAGTGGTGTTACTGTTTTATGTTCCCAAAGCTACAGGAACCAGAGCGTTATTTTAAGTTTTTCATTAAACAGGTAAAAACTGTAGCCCCTAGTTTCCACTTAACCTTTTAATGTTGTGTTTTGGAAATGATCTAACTCAGAGATGCAATTTATACCCAACAAGATACACACTTTTTAAGTTCTGACAAAACTTAATATAACAAGATATAAAATGTCATCACCCCGAAGTTTTCTCTTGTTTGTGCTTGTTCTTTGAGACAAGGTCTCAAGTTCCCCAGGTTGGCCTTGAACTCCTGATCTTCTTGCTCTACTTCCTCAGTACTGGAACTACAGGCATGCACCATTACAGCCAGTTTACCCACAGAAGTTCTTTAGTATTCTTTTTCAATCAACCTATCTCATTTAATCAATCATTTGTTGTCACTAATGACTATAGACAGTTTCTGTGGTGGTGGCATATGCCTTTAATCCCAGACAGAGACCAAAGGATCTCTTAATTTGAGGCCAGCAGTTCCAGGACAACCAGGACTACGAGAAACTGCCTTGAAAACCAAAAACAAAACAGACAGAGGCAGAAAGATTTAGATTTATCTCAGTGACTTGACTAACATGCAAGGCCAAGGGATCAATATCTGGCATTGAAAAAGGATTTGCCTTTTCTAGAATTTCACCTATATTGAATCATACAAATGCATGATTATTTTGCAGGATTATTTATGTGTAGTTACACATTGGCTGCATATAAAAACATTTTGCTTCTTGATTGTTAAGGTATAAAGATAAGTAATCATCAGCTGATAGACTTCTAAATAAAGCTATTATGAGAAATTATGTTTTTACTGTGTGTAGCTGAATGTGATGGTACACATATAATCCTAGCATTTGGGAAACTGAGGTAAAACTTCAAGTTAATGGACAAATTAGCTACTTAATGAAATCATGTCAAATCATGTCTGTTTGGATGTGGGTCTTCTTTTCTCTTGGACAAATATATGGAAAAGACCAATCCAGTCATACAATGAGACATAATAATATTTAAAGAAAGTATCAAATTAAATTGTTTATCCATTTTACATTCTTAGTAACAAAGAATCCCAAGTTGATACATGCCCTCACCAACATATCATACCTTCAGTTTAGTTTGGTTATTTTATCAGGTATGCCATAAATCTCAATATGGCTTTACTTCCCCAATGAGAACATTACTTAGAACATCTCTTTTGCCTACTCCTTATTTCCTTATTTATATCAAAGTAGTGGTCTTCCTGGTTTGGATTCAGATTTGTTTTGTGGTGGAGTCTCTTGAATGACTATCTTGAAAACTCCATTTTATTGCTACAATTGTTTATTATTCTTCTACTTGAAGTATTTATTACCATATCCACCTTTGCTGTATCACAATCTAGTTTACACTTTTTAATATGGACCACTTTTCAGTTATATTTCCTTTAATGAACTTCCTTTTGGACTAGAGAGATGATTCTGTGGCTAACCTATTTGCTCTAAGCATGGGGATCAGAGTTTAACCTGTTTGCTATGCAAGCATATAGAGTCTTTATCTGGAACACCCACATGAACTGAACACGAGCACCTGTAATCAATCCTAGCACTTCAGATATGGAGACAGATTCACGGGGCTTGCTGAATGGTTAGTCTAACTAAGGTGGTCTGCATTGTCTTCTGGTCCTCGGACCATCACCGTCTCATCTACACCACCTTCCTGCTACTCTTTCAGTACTCTGGCCCTCTGGTCTTCATCATGATCTGCTATGTATGCATCTACCAGCGCCTGCAGAGGCAGAGGCGTGCGTTCCACAAGGACACATGCAGTTCACGAGTAGGGCAGATGAGAGACTGTTTAAAAGTTCCTGAGATAAACAAACTTTTGGCCTCTATAATATTCACAGGTATGTATGTATATATACACACACACACTTTTATTTCAGATAATGGAAATCAGTTGGCAACAAATTTTGCTTGTCTGAAAGTCTATTTTTGTTTTTGAGACAGTGTGCTCAGAATGGTCTTAACTTCTAATCCTCTTATCTCCAACTCTCAAGTGTTGGAAATCACAGGTAAGTGCCATTACTGTTTTGTTTTGTTTTTTTTTTTTTTTTTCCCTGTTTATTTTTTGAGACAACAGTTTCTGTGTAGTTTTGGAGCCTGTCCTGGCACTAACTCTATAGATTAGGCTATCCTCAAACTGCCTCTTGTGCCTCTTAAGTCCTGGGATTAAAAGTGTATAAACCACCCAGATACTGTCTCATATTTTGAAAGAAATATTTACTGGATTAAAAATTCAAGGTCAATACTTTTTTCCTCAAAACTTCTCCAGTTCATTAGTCTTCTATGTTATCACATAGAAGGTAAAGGTTCCTTCATCTTGTCACATTTGGAGCTTTCTTTGATTTAGCATGAAATGATTTCCTGCTTTCCTGCTCCCATCATGTAAATAAAGCCCTGTGGTAAAGTGTTCAACTCTTTTCCATAAACTCAGGGTTGATATGCCTCAGCTAACTGCATGGTTTTGGCTTCTGTTAAATTGCTTGCTTTACCCCCGAAACTAACAACTAGGGAGGTCATTTTCCCATGTTCTTTTCTTAAGGCTGTTGTGTGAGAATTGTTTATCTCTAGATGGTCTTGGTCAGCTTAATACCAATGCTTAGTTCAGATGGTCATGCTAAATGGTCTTTGGGTCTCTATCCCACAACATTCTCCTTAGACATCATGCCAACATGGCAGATCAAGTCACTGAAAAGTCTTTTCTCATCTTTTTGCAGCACCAGTGTTGGACTTTGTATCCACCCCGACTTCCTTTTATTCTGATCTTACATTCCTTTTGTAGTTTTCTTGAGGTCTCTTTTTTGCTCATAGAGGCTATGTCTTGAAAAGTTGAAAATCTGTGTTTGGGTTTGTTTTTCTTTGTATAATCCAAAGATTCACAAATTATGCTGAAGTCAGCAATCTTTCTTCCACCAAAATGTGTTCTGAATCCAAATAAATACAAAGATAGCATCTGATGTGGCTTTGTACATTCTAGCTTCTTTTCCTGAATTTCTGTGTTCAGTCAGTCCTGTTGTCTTCCCAGGGTGAAGGACATTTCTTTGCTCTGAAGAAGACGGTTGGTCATAAACTTCCTGGTCCAGATATTTTATAAGTATGGAAACTTCACATATTTGCACGCTATCCTTGTAAAGAGACCATGCTAATCATTTTTGTTATTAGTTCAGTGCTAATATGTGTAATTTTTTTTTACTTGTTTTCAAGAAAATGATTATATATGCTGACAAAGGATTCTTGGTTTTGATTCTGCTTAAAGCTGACTGAATTTCTTTGATATCAGATTATACTTCTTAGTAACAGAATGAGACTGTATGATTGACTTCCAATCCCAGAAAATTATATATCTTTTGGCTCATATTGAAGAAACAGGAAACTGGTGTCACTATTCTTCAGTTTCGTATCTTGTATGAATAACATTCCTCTATTCCTGAATCTAGGTATTTCCTCTTAGGCACTATTGTTATGGTTAAGAAAAATGTTTGCCACAGGGAGAAGAGAGACTCAAAGTAGTCCCAACTAAATGTCCTTCAAAGGATGAATAAAGAGATTATGATACAACTGTACCTGGGAATAATATATTCCACAAAAAGGAATACAAAACAACATGAATAACCTGCCAACGAACCACACTGAAAGAAGCTAATCTCAGAAGGATGGATATTGCATAATCACACTGAAATTACCTAATTATAGAGAAGAAAGCAGATTAATAGCTGCCAGGGCTCAGGGACTAGGGTAGACCATATGTGTGCTTTTAAGGGTTAGCACAATGCAGACAGGACAATTCTGCAATTTTATAATTTTTGATATAGTCACACAAACCCACATATATTTTCTTAGAAAGGAAGATGTAAAAGTATCTTTTACCTATGCTGTAGGTAGACAGGCCTTCTCTTGTCAAGTCAATAACAAAATCAATTTTCTTCTCCACAGCCTGTAAGTTTTGTTAAAAAAACAAACAAAACAAAACAAAAAACAAAAAACAAAACAAAAAAAAAAAAAAAAAAAAAAAACCCAAGTTTAATAGCAGAAAATCTTTTTAAAATAGGGAAACACATTTTTCAATGCTGAGGACTGAACCTGGGGCTTGTTCACAATCATGCTCACAAGTGTGTCACTAATGATCCCCAACCTTAGAAGCTGGTAACTCAACATTCGCTAAATAATTTATGGTTTAAATTAGTTCTACTATGAAAGACATTCATAAATAAGATACTTCAGTACCTAAAAATATGGTTAAGAATCTCAATGAATTGGCAAATCTATGTTGTTTTGAAATATATGTAGCAACTTGGACTAGAATCTGGATGTGCAAAATACCCCTATATTTGTTTGTGTCACTCTCCACTCCCAATGAAGGGGGGGGCAGAAAAGGGACAATTCACTGGAGACTTTCAGTGCACCTAGACAAAGAGTGGATGACAAAACTCAGTCCCCACAACATGCTGAAACACTGGAGTTCCTATACATAAACATTCAGGTGAAATATTCAGAGACAACAACTGTTACCCACCCCAACTTCAATTATGGTATTAGGCGAGTTGCTGAACTTCCTTGATTTGTTTTCTGGAAGAAAGGGAATTAAAAAAAAAATCCAATTAAACTTATTAAACTATTAAACATGGTTTTTGCAATACAAGACACTGAAACAACAACAAAAAATGATAGGGATACTAATACACTGTATAAATTTATAGATCCCTAAAACTGATAAGCTAGTTTAAATTTTTGATTTGGGATTAAATATATATTTTCTTTCAGCTGCTTTACAACTATATTAGTAGCTCTGTTTTTCAATGTCTGAAACTATTTTAGTATCTGAAATTGTGACATTTTGTTATTCACAGTATCTTTAAGAGTGCCTGAGGAGCACCTTCCTGGAATGCAGAGTTCCCCACTTCTTGGGAACTCTTTAATTTACAAACTGATAGTTTTATATGTAGGGTGGAAGGAGTGTAAATCTTTCTGATGTTAAGATATAAATATTTCAAAACAGCAAAACATGATACAAACGGAATTCTTTTGTTTGTTTTTTGAGATAGGGTTTTCTCTGTGTAGCCCTGGCTGTCCCGAAACTCTCTCTGATCTTCAATTCACAGAGATCCGATTGCTTCTGCCTCCCTAGTGAGGGGAGGGGACAAAAGGCATGCCACCATTACCTGGTTACAAAGGGAATTTTGGGTAAGAAATTGTAGGCAAGCAATACAGCCATATTTAAGTTAGGAAAAAAGTTTTCTACAAAACCAGGTGTGGTAGTATGTGCTTATAATCACAGCATCTGGAAAATGAAGGCAAAAAAATCAGAAATTCAATTTCTTCCTTATCTCCACAGTGTTCATATCCTGTGAATGAGATGTCACATACACAAAAAGCAAATACATTTTAAGCTGTGCACTACAAAAACAATACATCTCATCTAAAAAGTTGTTTCTTTTAAACAAAACATTTGAAAAACTGTAAAACTATAAATAATTTTTAAGGATTTAAAAATAGTTAATCAAAAATAAACTTTAAATCTAAAATAGGTTATTAGCTAATAGACATAAAGACAAATTACCGCTACCACAAACAAATGGTCAGGACAAACAAAAGAGAAAATTTGATTTAAGCTGTAAATACAAGTCAATACAGTAAAGAACCAAAAGGCCTTAAGCTGATAATACCAAGATTAAAAGAAATGTCAATTTTATTAATGAACCACTGTTTTAATAAACTAATAATTTGTAATATTAGATATAAACTAGAAGATTAAGTACACAATTTTGTACCTTATTAAAAGATAATGGGGCTGGAGAGATGGTTCAGGGTTAAAGGCACTTGCTGCTCTTGCAGAGAAACAGAGTTCAATTCCTAGCACTCACATCAGGAGGCTCACAACTGCCTATAACTAGAGCTGCAGGGGTCAGTGTCCACTCTGGCCTCTCTGAGCATCCACATACTTGAGGTATACAGTCACACAAACACATAAATAATGAGAATAAAAATCTTTTCAAAAGACATTGCTCATTCTATGTTTCCTAATTTGATAGATCATAAAAGATACCTGTTGGATCTGATGTAATTGGAGTTGTCAGATTAGGTTTTTCCACGGAAATTAACATAACATCATCAGTGTTACTAGAATGGTAAAAAAGAAAAAAAAAAAAAAAAAAAAAAAAAAAACCCTGCTGTTAGTAATGATTAGGATTCCTCTAATTTTAGTGCTATTTAATAATGCTATTTATTGGAGGAAACTTGTAAGAATCAATTTTTTTCTTTCTACCATGTGGATCTGGGGCACAAACTCAGGCTGGGCAACAAGCACTTCTACTTGCTGAGTTGTCAGGGCAGCTCCTAACTGAACAACTGTGGGAAGAGAGATAAAATCAAATATTTAACAAAGTTCATTCATGATTCACAAGTACAAGGTGGGCTGGCAAGATGGGTCAGTAGGTTAAGGCACTTGATGACAAGCTTGATGATTTGAATTCAATCTCTGGAACCCATATGGTAGAAAGAGAGAACTAACTCCCATGTGCTGTTCTCTGACCTCCACAATAGACATAGTACACATCAACACAATTTTTTTTTTTAATTAAAGTACAGGGAAATCCAGTAAAACTTAGTAGGGCTATAGTCACAATAGTTATAATATAATATACAAATATACCAAGCACACAAGCATATGAAATAAATAAGTATCATTTCAATGCATATAGTTCTGTTCACAAAAACATTTATACCTGAAAAAAACTATTAAGACACATAAGGACACTGGCTCTTAAAAGATACATGACTCTGAGGCTGGGCATGAAGTCACACACCTGTGATCCCAGGAGGCAAGACTGGAAGAAACAAAAATTATAAAAGCATAGCTGCCACTATTTTACCCTAAGCCCAAAGGCCAAGTTTTGTTGCTATTTCAACTCTCACCATACTTTAAAGACCTAGGCTTTTAAATAAGAATTTTATTAAGAAAATGTACAAAGTGCATTATTAAAATGTTAGACTTTCTCATAACTCAAAATTATAACATTTTATGAGATTTCTTATATTTTTAGTATCTATATTCATGATTCACTTTGATTTAAAATTTACATATAAAGAGCTGAGGGTCAGGCATGGTGGTGTGCTTCTTTTATCCCAGCACTCAGGATGCAGAAGCAGGTGGATCTGAGTTCAAGGCTATCCTGGTCTACAGAGTGAGTTCCCAGACAGCCAGGGCTACACAGAGAAACCCTGTCTTGAGAAGAGAAAATAAGAACCACCTAAGAGTTACCTTTTAAAATTATTATTATTATTATTATTATTGAGCCAGGATTTTATGTGTAGTCTGGGTTATCTCATTACATAGCTAAGAATGACCTTGAAATCCCTAGAGTAAAGGCAAACACCATTTTCTCCCTCCATTTATTCTATACAACATTTAAAAAAAAAAAAATTTTTTTTTTTTTATAAATTACCATGGCATTTTTTCTTATAAACCAAGGGATTCCATAGGTACATGCTAGCTTGCACACTGACCTATGTACCTTTCCTTGCAAACACTGTCCTAATTAATTACTATAGCAGTAGCAGGTTCTGAATATAAGAAAGTGAAGTCTACCAACTTTGTTTCTGTTTTGTAATATCATTATTTAGTAATTTAGGTCTTATTTTCACAAGTTTTACTCAGTTTGCTCCTTTCTACAAAATATATACCATAGTCTTTTTAAGATAATATTAAATAGAGCCAGGTGGTAGTGGTGCATGCCTTTAATTCCAGCACTTGGGAGGCAGAAGCAGGAGGATCTCTGAGTTTGAGATCAGTCTGGTTGGTCTACAGAGTTCTAGGACAGCCATGGCTACACAAAAGAAACCGTATCTTGAAAAACCACAGTACATCAAACGTATACGTGTAAAACAACATCTTAACAATAATCATCTCTTTAAGTCATGAATATGACATCATTTATTTAGGTCTCCTATAATTTGAAATTACTTTATGGTCTAGTTAGGGCTTATGAATATTTTGGTTTACCCCTTATGTTCACTGATAGTACTGTAAAACAGTATTGTTTTAAATCACAATAGTTTTTTTTTTCAGACCAGACATGGTGGTGCTTACCTTTAACTTTGGCACTCAGGAGGCAGGGGCAGCCTGGTCTATATAACAAGTTTCAGCTCAACCAGAGCTACACAGTGAGACCTTGTCCAAAAGAAAAATTTTCCCATGTGCATTATACATGAAACCAAAAATATTTTACCCATCCTTGTCTAATTCTGGAAATCTGTATTGTTCTACATATATTAATTTTCCCCAACCTGCAATCAACACATATTCTTGTGAACTAAATGGATTAATCATGGTCTATTGGTACAAAGACATAATTTATCATAGGCAAATCATTGCAGCTAAGTAACAGCATCCACAAAAGTATCAAGAACAAATCATTGCTCAAGAGACAAATTATTCCTTGAGTATAATCCTATGTCTACAAATTCAAGACACATGCAAAAGCAGTTCATGGTGCTGGACCACCACCAGTTATAGTAGCAATGGTAAGACTGGTGGTAATTGGCAGAAAAGGCTTAAGGCAGGTAAGGTACCACTGACCTCTCTGTTTCTGTTTCTGACCAATTAAGTAGTCCAGGCTAGCTTGGACTTGCTATGTAGCTGTAGTTCTGCCTTCCTGCTTTCATTCCTTGACTGCAGGTATATACCACCATGCCAAACAACCCCTGGTATTTCTGAGAATTCAAAATTCTTGTTAATTCTGCTAGTATTCATGTAATGAGATATAACTTGGGACACTGGGATGGTCAGCAGGCCTGATGACCTTATATCCCCTGGGATACATAGGATAGCAGAATAAAACTAATTACTGAAAGTTGTCCTCTGTGGTGGTTTGAAAGAAAATGACTCCCAAAGGGAATAGCACTATTAGGAGGTGTGGCTTTGTTGGAGTAGGTGCGATCTTGTTGAAGGAAGTGTGTTACTATAAGGGTCTTTGAGGTCTCATATATGCTGAAGCCACACCCAGTGTCTGTGGGGAACCCCAGAGCAAAGTTAGCATCTTAACAGCCATCTACCTTACTACTACTCTCTTAGATAATAACATACTGGTAATTTTCCATTCCCCTATGACTGTTGTTAAGCATATGATGCAGCCTGACCCTGAAAGAGTCCCAGCTGCAGTCTTATCATATAGCAACTTGTCTTATAGCAGGACACCTGCATCCTTCTTGGAAGGACATTCTGCTCCCCTCACATCCTCCCTTTGGCCCATTCCCTCATTTCTCCATTACTTAAACCTTGTGGTTATATTCATTAAACGAGACTTAGTCAGAGCACTGTCTTGTCTCCATCTCTCCAGTCTCTTGTCCCCTCATTCTCACTCCTTACCTCAGGGTCCCTGTCTTGACCCCCAGGGCTGGGGTACATGTCTACCTGTATACCGCCATGTTGCACCATTATGATAATAATGGACTAAACCTCTGAAATGTAAGCCACCCTAATTAAATATATTTCCTTCATAAGAGTTGCCATGGTCATGGTGTCTCTTCACAGCAATGGAAACCATAACACATATACACACACAAACATGAAAAGATGTAATACAATGACATGTAACCTTTATGAAGCAGTACTATTGATTGTTACCAATGATAGGATTTTGTGCATGGGCCATAGCTAAAAGAAAAACTAGATAACCTTATGGTTTTCATGGTAATGTGAATATTTTTTCTATTTACATTTTATCAATAATTTCTCTAGGAAATGTTATTATATGGTAGATAAAAATATTATCAGTTCTAGAGACTAAATGTCTGCATCTGAATCTTAACTTGCCATTTACTAGTATACTTTGGTTTCTTTGTAAAACAGTTATAAATTTTATAGAGATTAAGTAAGGGCTGAAGATGTAGCTAGGTGGTAGAGTAGTTGGCTAGCTAGCATAATCAAGGTCCTTGGTTCCATATACAGCAAGGTGGTAAGAAGAGAAGGAATTAACAAAAAGAGAATTGAGTTTAAATAAGTAGTTTTAAAACTTTATAAATTTTTAAAGTTTTTTTTTTTTTTTTTAGTGTTTGTATGCTTTGCCTGCATGTATATACTGTGGGTGCCTGTGAATGGCAGAAGAGGGACCTCCCTAAAACTGGAATTACAGATATTTGTAAGATATACTGTATGTTGTGGAATATAAATATGCAAAGATGTACTGCATTTGTTTAACTACATAAAGATGTATTACATTTATGTTGCAAAATATTTGTTTATATAAAGATATACTGCATTTGTTTAATTATGTAAAAATGTTGCTGTTTTACCTTGCTTGCCTAAGGTACCTTATTGGTCTAATAAAAAGCTGAACATCAATAAATGAGGGAGGATGTGTATAGGTGGGACTTCCAGGCAGAGAAAACGAGGAGGAATTTAGGTGACAGGAAGAAAGAAAAGCAGAGGACAGGGATATTCCTAGGTCTAGTCAGCCAGACAGAGGAAGCAGATAAGTAGGACATACAGAATGAAAGAAAGGTAAAAAGCCCTAAGGCAAAACACAGATAAATAAAAGCAGGTCAAATTAAGTTAAAATAGTGGGACAAGCCTAAACTAAGGTCAAACATTTATAACTAATAAGTCTCAGTGTCTTTGAGAGCTGGTTAATAGCCCAAAATTTTAACTACATATGTTGGTGCTGAAAAAATGAATTCGGTTCTCTGAATAGCAAAATCTCTTACCTGCTGAACCATCTTTCTAGCCCAAAGCTTTACTATTATTGTGTGAGTGTGTTCGTATGCATGCGAATGCCATGGTGTGCATATAAGTCTGAGGGCCAACTCTATAAAATGGGATCTCTCCTTCCACCTTTATGTGGGCACCAAAATGAAGCTCATATTGCCAGGCTTTCAGCCAAGCATGTTTTTATTTAAGGAGCCATTTCACTGGCTTCTAAATGAGCACCATCTTGTTTTGTTTTAGAAACAGAATCTCTGTAGCCCTGGCCCTCCTGAATTTCCACAGAAATGTTTGCACATGCATTTTAATGCAAGATTTACTTCTTTAAGCAACACTAACATTTTAAAATTTTGTTAATCAAAATTAGTAAGGTGCTTTAATTAAAAAAAATGAACAATGTGGTACTGAGTAATGTTTA